CGATATAGTGTTACACTAAGAGCACATTTATTGACAGATATTTAACCAGTATTTAGATAAATGATGTGGTTGCACATTTATTGACAGATATTTAACCAGTATTTATAACACCACATCGTTTATCTTATTACCTTTAGCACTATTTATCAGTCATGTTTGTACAAAGCTGTGAAGTTAAAAATTTATTGGAAAACCCATCAAAAGTGCAACTCTTTGTTTTTATAATACTGGATAAATATCTATCAGTATATGCACCCATAGAGTTTCTCTGTGATTTAACAGCACGGACTGTTCGTGATCTGTCACGAGGAAAACCACCTTCTTTGGACGTTGTAATAATTAATTATTTCTGTTTAACTTGTATTACGTATACTTTATTAGCTTAAACAACTACATTAAACAGGTGTTACCAATTCCTTAACACAAAATTCCAGTGGTTTACACGGTTCCAGCAGTAATGTGTGCATACAAGAACTTGTAGTAGTAGCAGGGGGGATACCTTGCATATGACAAATAAAATAGATTGTTGTTAATTAACACATTTTGGAGAAACTGTTACAGCTGTCCATTATGGTTTGATATCATATGATTTTTACTGCAAACGTATATTTTTAACAGTTTAGCCCATGGAGATTATAAGTTATGATAATGTATTCTGTTATAATATATTATTATATATATAGGTATACATAGATTTAAAAATAATTCGTTCACAACAATGTATATATTTTAATTGTTACCTATCCATTCACAAGTGTATTTTCATTGTCACCTATCCATTTGCAACAATATATATATATATATTCATTGTTACCTATCCATTCACAACAATATATGTATTTTCATTATTACTTATCCTTCACAACAATGTATACATTTACATTGTTACTTATCCATTAACAACAATGCAGACATTTACATTGTTACTTATCCATTCCCAACAATGTATATGTTTTAATTGTTTACTATCCATTCCCAACAATATATGTATTTTCATTGTTACCTATCCATTCACAACAATGTATATGTTTTAATTGTTTACTATCTATTCCCAACAATGTATATGTTTTAATTGTTTACTATCCATTCACAACAATGTATGTATTTTCATTATTACTTATCCATTCACAACAATATATGTATTTTCATTGTTACCTATCCATTCACAACAATGTATATGTTTTAATTGTTTACTATCTATTCCCAACAATGTATATGTTTTAATTGTTTACTATCCATTCACAACAATATGTGTATTTTCATTGTTACCTATCCATTCACAACAATGTATATGTTTTAATTGTTTACTATCTATTCCCAACAATGTATATGTTTTAATTGTTTACTATCCATTCACAACAATGTGTATTTTCATTGTTACCTATCCATCTACAACTATGTAAAATATCAGAAGTTTTAACATGGTTTGCACTGCAACCGTTGGATCTGTATTATTGTAAGATCATTTGAAATTATAATCAACAGCTGTACAGTAACCAAAAGCTTGCAATAAGCTAAACACAAACGTGGAATTAACTCAATTAATGATAGTTATTAGTTTTCTACCCAAATTATGAGCCTCAAAGAAAACATATACCCAACAGTAATCCTGCAATACAGATTCTTCACTACCCTCAACAGGAGTCTTGTGTTAAAAATTTACCAATTACTCTTAACAGGAATTGTGTGGTTAAATATTTCTTCAGCACTTGCAACAGCAGATATGTAGTAAAAGACCTTCATGAAACTAAAAAGCAGATTTATGTTACAGATTCTTCATCACCTTTAATAAGAGTTTTGTGTAAAAGATTCTACGACACCCAGCAGCAGGTACGTATGTGGTAAAGATCGTTCATGACAAAAAAAACTAGTTTTTTATTAAAGATTTCTCACGACAGTCAACTCTGATTGTGCGTTAATTAAAATTCATAACACTCAACAGTTACGAAGTTTTCATGACATTTAAAAGAAGTTTTAGAACACATAACACTGAAATTAGTAGCAATTCACTTTATTTACCTGTAGGAGTGGAAAGGTGAGGGCAACAATGAAATTGGCCGACCAGTTTGCCAGACATCCAAGCCCCATTCCTGTTGCCCTGGGACCTTGATGGAAGAGTTCACTGCCAATCATATATGGAAGTGGACCTAAAAGACAAAAATATAATTACAGTTTCTTCTGTATCTCACATTCAGCAACCTATAACTTTTTGTGGTGTGGAAAAATATAGGAGAATCAATTACGAGCCTGGACCACAGTTTTCTGATCATCAGGACCTCTTTGTATTGTATTTTATCATATGATATCAAACCATAATGGATGGATGTCACAGCTTTTCTAGT